CACTGATCTCTATATTATAGAGTAGTGTTCCTTTATATTGAGGGACTCCTTCCTCTGTATAAAGGGACTCTATTATAGAGATCAGTGATTACAACCCGAAAATGATGCTCATGTGTTGCGAACGTCTCATTGCATTTACTGCCAGATGTAGACTGACTATACACGTCGCTTCGGTAGCGCCACAGGGCCAACGAATGAATTATATAGCACGTCTATGCCTGACCTAAGCACCGTCGTCGGTTAGGAAGATGGAAAAGAAGCTGAAGCCGTAATACAAACAGAGATTGATAGTATATGGTATGATACAGAATTCCGATGCCAATATAATGGTAGTCCTATAGTTGCACATGTGTGTATATATGTATATATATCAACTGTATACGTTATCATGGCCGATTGGCTTAAAAACTGGATCGGCATGTTGATGCACTGACTGAGCTGAGGACTCATCAAATCATCATCATCATGTCCTAATGCCAGTGCAGTGACAAGACATGATCATCATCGTCATCATGATGTGTTATTAATTTATTACGGAGGATTTTACCATTGACTAGGAGTACTAGTCCTAGTACTAAGTAGTATTAGAAAGATCGTCATGGCGGATCGTAGTAACGGTAAGTTACTCAAGGTAATCTAGATGATCTTTTCTGAAGTTATAGTTATACTATTACTAAATATCGTACTATATTACTATACGATAGTGGTGCATAATTTAATAATAATTAATATATCATTTTATACGCTTCACGAAAATGAAGATCCTGAAAGTGAGTGTAAGTCTCACATGAACACATACCAGCGAAGATGTCACCACAGGCACTTGAAGCGTTTCAATAAAATATATATACGCAGGGGTCGTGTGCTGTGCACGGCGACAGTTAAATATATAGACTATATATTATATAAATATTAGACTATATATTTAACTGTCGCCGTGCACAGCACACGACCCCTGCATATATATTTTATTGAAATGCTTCAAGTGCCTGTGAATGTCACCATCTTAATTTCTGAGTCACATGTAGATTGTCTATTCATATAACAATCCGCAGACGAGGCATCTTGTGGCCAGTAAACCTCATGAGGCAACTCGAACCCTTTTCCTTTACCTCCGCTGCCTGATATATAAATCCACCTCACCTAATGCCACTATTGGTATTTTAGTTTTATTAATATATATATATATATATATACAGTCCGATAGCTGGATTTTTGGACTTCTACTATTATCAGCTATTATATATATATATATATACAGTAGAAGTCCAAAAGTCCGGACTGCTCGGGGATTGGGTCGGTCCAGATTTTTGGATTTTCCGGATTCTCGGGCAACACTTTCAAAATTCACATTTAGGGAGGAATAAAGAAGAGTTGATAAGGTAAATTTTGATAGTTTATTCATTAGTATATATACAACATGCTTCATTTATTAAAACGAGCAGTTTTAAAGTAAAATAAAATCAACACTTGACAAAAATGTAAACAAAAATGTTTCACTACAATAAAAAGCAGGGTTCTTGTTAATAGCCGGTAACCGGTTATTTTTACGCCTATCGCGCAATTTGTTACCGGCTATCAATTTGATGAGAAATCTCCCACTAAAGGCGGTTAAAATATTTAATCCATATTTGAAAAAACGAAGTTTATTTTAAATACTTCCAACCAAGACTAACTCTGTGCACGGGCGGGTTTTCTTTTTATAATAGATACTTAATAGCATATATATTTTCCTATCTAAACTACCAAATCTAGAACCCAACCATCAAAATAGGCTATTGTGGTCAAATCAGAAATTTTTTCCCGGGGGTGCATGCCCCGACCCCCCTAGCAGGGCTTCGCGCCTTCGCCGTTCGCCCTACCGTCCGTGCCGGAAAAACAGTACCTGCTATTCATTGTCAAATTACCTGCTTTGTCAAAAGTTAACAAGAACCCTGAAAAAGAGTGTGTAAATTCTTGATATCATATAAAAGAACATTGTAAAAGAAAAATACACTAATCAAATGAAAGTGAAAGTTATTTTATACAAATTAATTATTTAGTTTTAGTTTATTAAACATAGAATTTAAATTTGAAAGTTTTCGAAAAGTCCGGATTTTTGGATTTCTACTATATTCTTCCCAGGCCTTATAAGTTATAACGCATGTATGGTCTGACATGCCTTCAAGGTTGATGCTAATTTGTGTCATCTTATAAATCTTCCAATATTCCTTATTTGCCTTAATTTCCAGCTATGTTTGCATTTGACCAGGGCCGTAGCCTGAGTGGCGGGCAATGGGGGCAGCCGCCCCCCTCTAGATTGTGGAGCAAAATTAAAAAATAAGCTTAGCTAATAATCGTAAATTACTCTAACGTGATTTTTTTGGTCACTTATCGGGGGGAAAGCCTGTCTCAGACCACCCCATTATGGACTTCAGTCATGAGCTGCGCCATCGCTCATCATTACACAGTGAGTCAGGAATTTGGCCCTCTAGGAATTTGCTCAACCTACGGCCCTGTTGACAATCCCAATACAGTCATTATGTGCTCTCAAGCATTGATGTATCTGTATCTGGACTTATCTGGAGCGATCTGGTGCACATCGAAGGTGAAAATTTCAAATTTTTAAATGGAAGAAAAACGGAAATAACATCTTTCAGTCAATGTCTATGTACATGTCAACTATATGAAGTATATAATTTGCGCATCAATATGATACATGTAATAGAAATAAAGAATATGAAATAGTAAATCTTTTCAGGGCGTACATAAATTTCCATTTTTTCCAACCTGGTAATAGTCAAAAAATAACATTGCTGAATGATATTTAAACACTATAACATCACTCGACTAGACGATCCTGCAGCCGGATATACGCGCGCGAAGCGCGAACAGCGCCTTTTGATCGAATTCGCTGCCTCTATTTAGAAACATACCTGGGCCCTCTGGGTACTACAGAAAGCCGCATAATCGGTCAATTGAGGAGTTGTGGCGATTGCAGAAGCCTTTCGACTTTGCACGTAGGGCGGAGAATAAATCCAAATGCTCGTTTTTGTTGGTGTGTGGCTCGGCGCGCGTCTTTCGTGTAGAAAAATAATTTCCCCTTTCTCGCTGGTTCATGCCCTGACATTAATTTGGAAGTGTATGCGACCCATAGATGGCGCAACGAGTCCATCTACGTACCATTTTCAAGTTTTTTTTTTAAAAACCGCTCGGCTCGATGACCTAGACTGCCGCGGGTGCACAGTTCGACACGCTAGCGTAACTCACTTCAGTGTACCAACGATAGTTGGCTGAGTGAGGTCGGTAGCCGTCTAGCCTTCAATCGCATTTCGCTTCCGACTTCCCGTATCCATCTTAACGCACCAATGTGATGTTCTGATGTTTTCCATTATGATTATCACGATGTTATCTGGATTCTGGAAAAGCTCCGCCTTCGTGGCGTCAGCGCGCGTGGCGTGGCGTCGTGGCGAGAATTTGGTCAGTCTCTGTGTGATTTCGCGTGACACAGTTCTCTTACGAACAGAGACATTATGTTTTCATAAGAAGTCAAGTTAGTCACACTGTTCTTCAAATAGAAACAAAATCTCGAAGCTGTTGGATGAGTATTTGTTTTGAAATCGTTGGAGAGCGTACGTACAGCATTTTTGCAATATATTACATCGTCCCAGCGTGCTGCTTATAGCAAAAACTTCGTCTACCCCTGCGGTCGAGGGGGGCCCTGATTGCTCTTGTGCAGAAAAACTTCGCAGAAAAACTTGGAACTCGCCTGCTCGCACTTACCTTGACGGTGCAACCCCTATATATACCAGCTGCCAGCTCCATCCATAGCTCCCTACACCAACACAACGTCAATACACCCTAGTATTCTAACCCTAGCAATACCGTTTCTTGGAGCTAGTCGAATCTATGATCTTGCAGTGCAGCCTTGATCTTGCAGTGCAGACTTGCAGTCATACACTGATATGTACAGTCTTGTCGGGCTATTTACATTACTATCAATATCATAGTGACGGGAAGTTGTACTTGCAAGTAGTTGTAGTGTACGGCACTTGCTGTATACTGATCCATAGACTGATATAGCTAAGGCTAGTAACTAGAGTGTACTGGACCGTAAATTAACCCACTATTACAACTAATTCATAAGGGCTCATGTAATACAGAAATGAATAAACCCTGAGGCTGAGTGTTCCAATTCTATTTATATACAGGTTATTTTTACTGCCTATAGCCTAGAGTCCTAACATATAATACGATGTATTGCGATGTATGTGTTTGTGCGCGTTTATGCATGTATTGCTACGTGTTCTCGGCTTAGCTTAGTCACTCGATGGGTAATCGAGGTGGGAGCGAGTCCCAGTCTATATAGCCTTTGTCCTTGCAGCCATTTCCATTACTGGGCAAGGTTCGCGAACGCGAGAATTTCGTCAGTCTTTCTGTGATTTTGCGTCACACAGCTCGGTTACGAAGAGAGAAATTATGTTTTTATAACAAGTCAACACTGTTCACGTCCCAAATGTCTACCCTCTGTGTCCCCCACTAAAATTGCGGACTGTTCGTGGCAGCTATGGATCCGTGCGCCGCCAATTCATTCGGCGCACGGATCCATAGCTGCGAGCGCTGCATACTGTCGTAGGACGTTCCCGGGTCGCGTGCGCCTTGCCGGCGGAATTGCGCGCAAGATCTGCGCTTATAGCGCTTGGGATCAAACACTCCTTTCGGAACGCTTCTCTAGTATCCCGTCTCATCTGGCTTTTATCTTTAGTTTATTTTCATGTTGCTGACAACAGTTTTGCCTTTAAAAACCCAAGCTGCTAGGATATTTACATAAAGATACATCAACTATTTATTAATTAAAAAGACTTAAGAACTAAAGTGCAAACTAAACTAAAAGAATAAAAGGAACTATATAAAATATATACATAAAACTAACGCTCATAGGGTCTATGTCACCCAAGTTACTGCCGGAACGTACCCTGGGTACGGTCCGGTATACCGCGCTCTGCGTTATCAGCGTGCGTTAGGCTCTGCGTGCTGCGCGTACTTAAGCTGTGCGTACGCGTGCGTAGTGCAGTATAAGTACAGTGTGTGCATATGCAAGTACGGTTCCTGATATTCGACCCTCGATCGAGCCTCCGAAGCACAGGATCAGGCCCTGAAGTCCGCACGGTATTAGGGCAAATACGGCGCTGTGCATGTCTGTTTGCTATAGAGTAAGGCTAGAGGGACTTCGTCAAACTTTGTAATTTTCCAGTAGGCAGATGAAAATGTGGATAACACTCTCTTTCGCTCTTACCCTCTCCTCCTTATTCCCTCTTTCTTTTCTTGCATTTCTTTCCGATCATACAAAATACATATAGACATATATTTTCTGCCAAAAAAAGTGGGGGGGCCCGGGCCCCTCCGGCCCCCCCGTACGCGCCGCCCCTGTAGGTTGCATACCTTACAGTTGTGTTGAGTAACATTATTGTATCTGATAAATGACATGTGCCTTCTGAATTTCCTAAGGAGAACCCTGTATATGTACGTGGGCGTGTGCGTGCGTGCGTATCAAATACCACATACATGGCTTCATTCACTTTTTAGCCATTTGTTGCATGTAGGCCTAATTGGCCAAGTTTTTGAGCAGGTCGCAATGCCTACATGGTAATCACGAATCACTGTGCAATCAATCAATGTAAGGGATATTAGGATTAAGGAGGTGATCCATGTCAATATGAAACTGACATCTTGTGATTAACTGCAGCAAACTTTGAATTAAGATTTCCTCAATCCACCCTTATCTAGGTCACCCCATATAATTATCTCTGTTCATGGAGATAGCAAAGTTTAAATCCAAGTTTAATGATAAAAAAATGTCTCAATTTTTATATTAAGTTAGTAAATTTTGAGATATGAGTGTCAGTATTGGTGATTAGTTGTTTTTCCAAGCTATATATTCCTTTAGGTTAGTAGAAGTTATTTGAAATGTGAACCCCTGTGGCACCCTGCTAATTAATTATATTTTTTACTCAGTAATGTGTTAACCACATGTACACCATGATTTCAACTGTTTTTTTTAACTTGGCAGAAATTCAATAAACTATTACACATTTTCAGACGTGCAATCACCACCTTCAGCACCAATGGAGTCACCAGCACCACCTTCATATGATGAAGCAATGGGCCAGCAGGGATACCCACTCGCTGGGACCAGACACACAGGGGGTGAATTGCCACCATCTTACGAGACAGTGGCACTTATGGATCATAATGTGGAAGGTCATATATATAGACCACAGCCAGCCGGTCAGGTGTACCCAACCAATGGCCAACCTGTAGGAGCTTGCAGTAACTCATTAGTATGTGATCCTCTGGGAAGTGTTTCCCCAGCAGGTTACCCAGTACGACCTGGTGAAGGTGGACCTTATTCACACTACATGTTTGGTGGTATGAAGTATGCAAATGGCAGAGGTATGCCATCCAGTGGGCAGTACCCACCTCAAATAGGAGGCGATGCATCATACGTGGTGAGGCTTTACCTCTACAAGTACAATTCAGTAAATGCGTTATTGGCTTCAGTGAATTGTGTTATAAGCCAATGAAGGACTTAGTATGCAAATTCAATTTGTATTGAGTTCTTGCCATCTTAAATGTATTTCTGTTTTGACATGACATAGGGAATTGTCAATTAGCCATCTTAAACTACATGCATTAACCTTTTCACTGAATTGATACAATAACATCTAGAATTAGCTTTATTATCAATCATTGAGATCGTGTTGCATTTAAAGATCTCACAGTAATTCCTGTGAGAGGCAACAGTGGAAGTTACTGAGGGGAATATTACATAGAGCACAGGCATGCAAAATACCCAGCATAAAATAACTAGTGGGTGTTGAGAAAATTGCTATATTTCTCATATCAATTAAGTGTGAAAGTACATAAACATAAGAAGAGTTATTTGGTGATGTATATTGAAACGTGCAATAAAGATGCTGACATTTGTGTGTTATTGGTGTTATAGCAGTTACCTCCAGTAGTGAGTCAGCGCCAGATTCCAAGCAGTTCAGGAGTTGTTGTGGAGCGTGTAGATGCAAATCCACCAGACTATCTGTGCAAATCCGTCTTTGCCTGCCTCTGTTGCTTCTGGCCTTGTGGAATCATTGCAATAATTTATTCCTTGCGTGTAAGTAGCAATCAGCACTATCCTCAAATGGCTTTAGACACTAAGACTCTTATTTAGAAGTCTTTACTTTATAGCGGTAAAGCATTTTAATGATTTATTCACAGTTGAATCATGTTTAAATTACACCACATGCAAATACTGTGGTTCAATATTCTCTGGAAATAATTGCTTTTAATGATTGAAAACTATCAAAAATAGTGTTTACATTATGAAACTACTTGTCCTGCCTCTCATAGTGTCAAGTTGAGATAATCAAGTAAGTTGTTGCGTGCGCGCCTGTACTTTAACAGACTGGCAGTGGTTCTTATTTCATTATTTAACTTGAAAAAGATTGCAATATTTTAGAGTAGCTCCGGTCAATCTAAAAGTGGTGAAAATGAGCTTTATAGCTCAGAGCTCATTACCGAGAGGGGTAGCAGCATGACAGATGATGTAAACAAACAATAGTTGAATGTTTATAAAAAATTAATATTTGTAATTATCTCTAGTGAACGTTACAATATAAACCTTTATATGTTCCATAATTGAAATTTGGTTTAATTGTAAATAACCTTTATATAACATATCAAGAGTACATAATAGAGATCTCTATTATGTACTCTTGATAATATATATATATATATATATATATATGGCATATATAACATATCTTAAAGGTATCCATTAACGTTTTTCTGTGTAATTTCCAGGTCAGAAGTCTGAACAGTCAACATCGCTATGAAGAGGCATGGAAGGCTTCTAGGATCACTCGTAACACTATCACCGCCTGCATCGTTATCGGATTAGCTTTGTACATCCTCAAGCTCGGTCTCACCTCTGCACTTTCTCAGTAAGACATTGTGCAGTACTACTGCCGTGATATTTTCTCCCTGTTATTTACTCCTGATATATTTATATCTCGCCCAAGGGCACTGAAATCACGCAGCTTCGTTTTGCACAAAGTTTCTACCATTTCTATTGGTGCTGCCTCAATATGACATCGTTTTGATGATCAGCAGTTTTTAATCAATTTCTTGCTGTTTCCTTTATTCAGGTAAACCACTTCAGCATGCTGTTTAGTTAGGTGTATTAATGGTCATAAAATAGAAGCTGTGGCATAAACACGAAATTTTTTAGCAGGGGATTTTCACAGAGTCCTTAGGATTGTTGATAAATTGTTTCTGATCACCAGCACTCATTAAATAACTGGCTGGATACTTAATTTACTCAACCAATTCAGACGAAAACCACTTAACTTATAATTGAGAAACAGTACTACTTTTAATGCTTATATTTGTTATTATAAATATCAGGGAGATTGATGAATCGGCAGTGAACTCTACGATGGTTGACTGGCTAACTTCAAACCAAACTGGATATTGAGACGGAAAGAAATGACATGCCAATAATAGCAGGTTAATGTGAAGAGGCAGTGATTGAGGGATGCTTTTCTACTTTTTGGCTTGATTGGGCCATGGACACTCAATAACTATATGTACAGCAGTTGAGAAATTGAGTGTAACTGTAGTACTTACATTCTATCATGTGCACTAATAAGTTTAATTACAGATAGATTAGAATAATTATTAGATAATATAGGCTTACACAGTGTGGCGTGTAGCATTACCATTATTGTTATTTCTATGTGTGTGCATGCGTGCGTGCATGTGTGCCTGTGTGCGTGTGTGTGTGTGTGTGTGTGTGCATGTGAGAGAGCGAGCATGAATATGTATGCCATATGCCATTAAGGTAAGGTCTTTTATAATATTAAGCTTGACCAACGCTACCATTTGGTCAGCTAATAACATGGTATTGGAATGACAATATATATGCTACACATACATAAATTCATGATATTGGATATTCGTCAATTCTCCTAAGGTCTAGACCAGTGGTTCCCTAAATTTTTCAGGCCACACATTGGCTATATAAACTCATATGCAATGCCCCCTACCTTATTTATGCACTTGCAAATTATTGCCTCTTGTAAGAGCAAATTGGCCTCTGGTAATCCCGCAGCCCCTACGGGAGCGGTACCACCAACGTTGGGCCACTGGTCTAGAGGAAGAAACCGTAGTGGATTTGACTAGTAAGATTTTTGTCAGAGGATTCGTCTTGGACAGAAAGGGCAGCAGGCATTATGCCCTAGGTGCAAGTCTGTACATGTAACGATGTATATATTTTAGAACGTATTAGTATCCGTATTAGCTATACTATTTATGTATAGTATTTACTATTTATTGTTTTGTATCATATTGTACCTGATGTACTGTGTGTGTTTGTATATTGTGTCCTACAGAATAAAATTCCAACCTGTAGCAACCTCAATCGGACTTTCTACATATATCTAAGTTTGCCAATGCTGAATCTCCATCCGCCACACACCTATTCAGCATCGAGATAACATAAACGTAAATTTACATTTTACACGCTGTCATATTAGGTAAACGTGTCTACAGATCAGCAAAAATCTTTAGTGCTCTCATTGGCTTATGTGATTCTAAATAACATCAAATCGTGTGTCATGTAAATTACTTTTACTTGAAAAGTATTCTCTCTCTCTCTCT